TTTTTGTGAACTTTGTGTACGCTTTCAAACTTTTATTTATATGATTTTATTATTATGATTCCTTCCAAATAGTTGGAAAAACGCCCTCTTTAAGAGACAAATTAAATAACGCTGTTAACGGCTCAAAGAGATAATCAGCACAGTTTGTAAGAATACAAGTCTGCTCTAAGGATTTCAGATAAACTACTACATCATCGGGAGATATTACTGGGATATTTATTGAGTTAATTGGACATAGTTTAAAATGATAGCCAATGTTAGCATGTGAGTTAATGGAATAATTGGATTTGAAAAACTGAGCGAACATGTTACAAATTGTTTGATTATCACTAGAGACGGTATTTTGATAGTTTATGGCGGAAGGAAACCCACGTATATTTCGCTCGGAGTATACGAAGTCATAAAATGATTTGGGGTTATATATTATACGCCGTTTGATTTTACAAAAGTAAGCTTTATACAATTTTTTGTGTAATTCAAAACACTTATGACGCAAAAGTGAGTATTTTACATAGTATGAGTGTAAACCGGTTTGTTTGTGTAATCTAAAATAAAGTGACTTTATGTTTTTCAAATTTCTCAGTTCTTTAGTGAACCATAACTGCATTTGTTCTTCAGGAACATACATGCGTTTAGGCACATGCTTTTTAAATAATTTATGTAAAGTAAAATTAAAAAGTGCAACGCTTTTTTCAATATTTTCTTTATATGCAGGCCACGAAAAATTAGACAGTTCTTTGTTAAGCTTTTTAAAGTTGGCTATCGAAAAATCAAAGCGAATATTTGGTTCGTATGCTTGGGTACCGCAATTTTGACCATCACTTATAACTTCATAAGATCTCCATAGGAGGGTGGTAGACATCTTCGGGCAAAACTAGTGGATCACACTTATTTACAACGGACTTAGATGCATCGTCAATATAAACAAGATCTAATACTTTACCAAACTTATTGTGAAGTACATTAACCTGAAGCTGATGCCACATAAAACTTTTGCTTCGCTTTACGTGACAGATTCGCTTTGACAGATAAGATGAATTGTAAGAAAATGCACAAAGCATGCCACATAAATCGTTGAAGCTGCAGCGCGAAGCGAAAAGATGGCCAACTCTCATCTTTTTGCGCGCTTTGACAATCAGCCGGTTTAATATTTATTTTATTTCGTCCAAATTCGGGTTTTCATGCAGAAACATAAAACTTAATTACATTGCTGATAATTTTAAAGCAAAATATATAAAATCCACAGCAACTTTTACGAGTAAAACAGCGGTACAAAATTGCTTTCTTGGCGTTCATTGTGGCATACCTTTTGCGTCTGGCGCTTTGCTGGCAAAGTTATAAATGTCACGCAAAGCTACAAAGTTTTATCTGGCATCAGCTTGAGTTAGGCAGAGTTCAACCATCTCCTCTAAAAAAACGTTGTTTCACGCATTAGACGCGAAAGGTACGATATCATTGCCAATGATATTCCAAGATATGCTTGGTAAATTAAAATCACCCAGTACAATCATTGAATCAGAGGGTTTAGTCAATAAATTAACTGATTTCAGTAAAGAGATGAGTCGTGAATACACCAATGTGTCAGATCGGTGAGGGATATAGCATAGAGCTAAGTAAATAGACCCTTTTCCAACCTTTACACGAATTCATTTGAATTCTACTGAATCAATGTGTGGAAGAGTAACTTCTTCAGATGGTATTGAAGAGTCTACAGCGAAGAGTACGCCACCGCCGATTCTGTCCTCCCTATCTTGTCTATGGATATGATAATTATTTGGAAAAATCTCTGATTTGAAAATGTGAGGTTTCAGCCAAGTTTCAGTGAAAGAAAGAATATTATAATTATATGCATTTCTTCTGTCGCCACCTGTTGTGGCTCAGCTCGACACATTTGCGGAGGATTTTTTATAGGTGGGTCGTCCTTCAGATTGAAATACATCTGTAAAGAACTACGCAGAATTCAAAATGACATTGTTTGGAACTTATGTTTATCTATTTACTTTTAATAACTTGCATATAGTTCGATCCATAACAGAAATCATATAAATAAAAGTTTGAAAG